CTGTTGGGCCAGAAAGTAAGGAAGTACTCAAAAAGCAATAATGTACCACAACAACCCAGGAACTGAGATGAAGGAGCTGCCACCATGCAAATCTAAAAGACATAGTAGAACAAAACAAGTCATGACAGCAGTGAACTAACACAAGAATCCAGGCATCTGTACTCACAGAGGAATAAATAAGTGGAAAGATGGTCTCTTACATAGAAAAGCCAGCAATTACATGTAAAAGAAATGGTGGAATTTTAAAAAATCACCATGTCTAATCAAAAGAAGAGTACTATCTCAGACAACAGTCTAGTTAGTGAAAAGTGACTACATGATCAAGTGACTATGATGATCAAGATATAACACTCTTGACATTTCCTAGTCACAAAGACCATAAAGAAAACTTCACAGTATAGAAACTGGAAAGATTGCACCTTAACCAAGATATCAAGGTCAACCTCATCAGTAACGAGATAAAGCAACTCCAGGTGCCTTCTAACATTGTGCAGAGAAGAACACAGAACCTTTGTGGCACCATGCCCCAAATAGGAACCTGAATCCACCCAAGGAAGCCTGAGACACTCCCAGACTAAGGGACACTCTATCAGCAAATGCCATGGTTATTAAAGTATGAGAATATGTCACACAATAAAGGAGACATCATAATTAAACAAAACGAATAATGCCAGATTGGATCTTGGACCACAGATACCCCTCCTTTGCTAAGAAGGACATTATTGGAACAACTGGCTAAATTTAAAAACTGTCTAGAGATTAGATAATAGTACTATATGAATGTTTATTTCTTGATTTTAATATTATATTGGTAATTGAAGGAAATATTTTTGATATTTTGTCTTTTGAAATGTGATAAGCAATTGAGTATTTAGGTAGGTTTCCTCAATTAGGGTTCCAGGAGAGAATGAAGCACTACAGAAAATATATTTGAATAACTACTTTCTCAATTCTCCCAAGAATGGGAGGTAGCTAGAAGCACTGTGCATGTATACATAGGAGAGGAGTTAGGACTTCAGGACTTACTTCTTTCACAGTGTAAGAGGCATTAAGTCCTCAGATCACTTTCAAATGCTTAAAAAAAACAAAAAAAGTACATATCTGTGTGTATATACAGACATATAAAATCATAAAGCAAATGTGATACAATGTTAACATTTAGAGAATACACGTGAAGGTTATACAAGCATTCTTTGTACTATTTTGCAATTTTTTAAAAAAAATCTGAAGTTGTGGCTCAGTGGTAGAACACCTAGCACGTGTGGGGTCCTGGGTTCCATCCTCAGTACTACATAAAAATAAATAAATTAAACAAAGGTATTATGTCCAACTACAACTCAAAAAAAAAAAACCTGACATTATTTCAATATTAAAAGGTTAATCTCTGAAATCACATTTTGGTTCAAGCTCCCACTGTGCTCCTTTGTGGATGGAAGAACTTGGGTAAGTTACTTAAATTTCCCAACTTCTTTGATAAAATAGGTAATACACATGCTTCAAGGCGTTGCAATGAGAACCAAGATACTATGGGTAAGGGGCAATTAACCATTGAGTAACATCCCCAGTCCTCTTTTTTTTTTTAATTTTGAGGTAGGGTCTCACTAAGTTGCTGAGGCTGGCTTTGAACTTGCAATCCTTCTACCTTAGCCTCCCATATTGGTGGGATTATAGGCATGCGCTAACCACTAACATTTATTGAGCTCATCCTTTGTCCCTGACTCTTGTGTCAAGTCTGGCTCAAAACCCACTAAGATAATAAACTAAATAAAAAGACTCAGCCAGTTAATGATTAATAGAAAGACATGGCAATATTAGGGGAAAATATATGCAGAAATGTTAGAAGGGAAGAATTTCAATTCAGAATCATAACTAAATAGATATGCAGGCATGCAGACAAATAGGTGGTACAAAATGATGGGTTTATGGTATTTTGTCTTTTGAAATGTGATAAAGTTCAAAAGGAGAGTTTAAAGTTTTTATTGCCCTACAAAATGTGTCATCTCTGCCTCCCTTCAGTCTCACAAGATACCTCAGAGCTTTACCACTTTTTCCTTCTGCTTAATTGCTATTCCTACAAGTTGCTTGTTCCTTTGATTCAAGTTTCTGCCTGAAAATTACTTCCTCAAAAAGCAGCACTTCTTGACTACCTTTATCTAAAAATAGCTCAAGTTATTTGTCCTATTTTATTTCTCTTCATGCACTTTTCTCAATTCAACTTTGTAATACACATTTTATATTTGTTCATTTATTTGACTCTCCTATTAGAATGTAACATCTATTAAGGGTAGGATCTAGTCTTTTTTTCATTGCAATATCCCTAACATCTAAAATACATTTGCTAAATAAATAAAAAATATGAAGAAACAAATATCAGAACAAAAAAGGGCTATCATCCTTTCATCTCCAGTAGCAATACAACAGGCTATGCCAGTAGACCCAACTGGTCCATCAGGCAAACCCAAATACCCTCCTCCCTCTACAATGCTTCTCTTTCCCCATCCTAGGAAGAGACTGGTATTCTCATGTGCAGGGTCAAAGTGTACAAAATCATCAGACAGGCAACAAAAGCCTCCCAAGCAAACAGGCTGAATCACAAAGCTTAAGAGTTCAAGGTTATCTTTATAGTGAAAGTATGTATGAGACAATTAAAGTCATTAATTAAAGCATTACCTAAAAAATAAATAATGCTTACATTATAGGCCCTTGGTTAGGGATAAGCTCATTTATTTTGCATTGATTACAGGGGATTACCTCACTTAATCTTTCCAAGAACCCTATAAAAGAGATATTAATATCAATATTTGCATCTTCAATAGAAAATCTGATGGGGGTAGTTAGCTAATCACCTAAAAAAAGCTATAGATATAGAGATATATACTAGGAGTTAAGTATATATCTTCTGACACCAAAGCCCGCCTAAGCACTGGGCATATTACGTTATTTGTGTGGCATATTAATCAAGAAGCAATTACTGTAAGTCTATCATGAAAATGCTGGCAAGACAGAAAGAATTAGCACACACTCTTGAATTGATAGGGCACTGCTCAGTCTTACAGCTTTACTGTGTTAAGGGCTAGGAACATTCTTTCTCCACTGGTTTTCTCCCATTCCTTTCTGTCCTACTCTCAAATCCACATTTACATATGAACACAGGGCTTAGGGCAGGTGAGGCCCACATCTAAGCCCAACAACTCCGGAGGCTGAAGTAGGAGAATCACAAGTTTGAGCCAATCTGGGCAGGACCTGTCTCAAAATAAAAGGCCAGTACTACAAAAACAAAAACAAAACAAAACAAAACAAACCCCAGGCCGGTGGCTCAGACCTATAATTCTTGTTAACTTGGGAGGCTGATCACAAAATCAAACAGCCTCAGCAATTTAGCAAGACCCTGTCTCAAAATAAAAAGCAAAAAAAGGGCTGTGGTTAAGCACCTGGTACCCGCCCCCACCAAAAGAAGAAGAAGAAAATATACATAAAGTCCACTTACCATAAGAAAGATTCAAGACTGTATTCCTTTTGGCTCTAAAAGGTCTCTAGACCAGAACTACTCACAATACTCAAGTCCTCCCTCTCCTAAAAGAAAAAAATAGTGTTCAAGATAACTTCGTGAGGCTTATAATTTTTTTTTAGTGCTATTTAAATATTGGTCCCAAACTAGGCGCCATGGCACACACCTTTGATTCCAGCTACTGGGCAAGCTAAGGCAGAAGGATCACAAGTTCCAGGGCAGCCAGGTCAACTTAGCCAGACCTCGTCTCAAAATTAAAAAGAGGACCTGAGGTGTAGCTCAGTGGTGGAGTACTTGCCTAGCACGTGCAGGCCCTCGGTTTCATCTCCAGCGCTGGGAAAAACAACAACAACAACAAAAATTAATAAATACTGGTCGCATTTACTCTCCAGTCTGGTGAGCATCCTTGCAGCGTACCTTACACCTCTTTCCACCACTGCCTACATGGTTTTCCTGTAAGCAAACCTGCTAGAAAGTTCCTTCCTGACCTGCTCCATACAAAATGTCAAGACTCGCTCTGCATTCAATTTCCTAACAAAGCCCGAGGCCTTGCTTTTCCGCTTTGAATCCCTCTCCTTCTGCCAGCTGCTTTGGTCGTCATTCTCTCAACCTCCAGGTCAGGGACCCCTTCTTCTGATCCTACAGACGGCAACGCGCCGTGACCGGTGTCGGTAACCCAGCTACCTATGATGCCGGTGTCCACCAGGCAACGGTTAGGACGAACCACCCGGACTCGGCCCAGCGCGAGGCACCGCCGCACAGGAGGCAGGGGCCATCCACGTCCGCAAAAGCCGCGTACCGCCTGCAGCAGCGTCTCCCGCCCTCACCCCCGTCGACCGTGCCGACGGGCTGCGCTTTCAACCAGCTGAGGCCTTCCACGATCCCCGGTGAGTGCGGGCGCAGGACCCGCTACGCGCAGAGGCTGTCCGCTCCCGATCGGCCCCGCAAGCCGCCGGCCGGGTCCGGCCTTCCCCGCACTGCGCCACCCCACACGCCGCGGGCCCGGCTCGGCCTTGCCTCACCAGCGCCGCCCCGCACAGACCCGCACGCCGCCCGGCCCACCCGGGCCCCGTAGCTCACCCGCCCGCGCCGCCCCTCGGCCTCAGAGGACACTTCCGGTGCGTCTCAGAGGCTCGCATCCGGTTCGCGGCGACAGCAGCTTCGGCATCGGGGAGCGACTACCCGGCTTCCGGAAGGAAGGCGAGCGGGCCTGGAAAGCCGACAACAGCCAGAGCCACTCCCGCCGCCCCGCTCGGCTGGGGCCGGCAGTCCGCGGGGTCTCGGGGCCGACAGGGCCGGCTGAGCGCGGAGCCCTCCGGGCCCAGCTGGAAAGCAGCCGCCTCAGCCCCGCCCTCAGTCACGTGACGCCCGCTCCAAGAAGGGCCGCCTGGCTTCTCGGCCAATGGAGGCGGGCGTCGGGGGCGGGACCTACGCGGGGCCCGGCGCGCGTGCGCGGCTTACGGCTGCGATGGGTTAGCTTCCTGAGGGGGGCGGCGCGGAGCGGAGCGTGAGGGCCTTTAGGCCTGGACGCGAGCCCCGCAGCATGCTGCAGCGGTGGAGACGCAAGCCAAGGTGTGGACCGGACCAGATTCCGAGGCGCGCAGGCGCTCTCGATCCCTGACGGCGGCCAAGGTTACACTCGGCGCTCCTGCGGGAGCGGTGCGGAGGGCTGCGGAGGTCCGGGCCCTTCTGGCGGGGCTTGTCGGCCGGCCGGAGCAGAGCCGAGACCTCCTGCGGCTTTCCGTAGAGCGTGCTCCTGGCCCGGTGTCCCGTGGAGGAAGCCGTGGACAGCCCTGAGACCTCGGAGGGCAAGGCTGAGTGCCAGGACTGTGGGAGACTGGGGTGAGGCTGGTCCTGGGGTCGGAGGCGGGACAGCAACCCCTGCACGCGCAGGATCAGTCACCTCCCGGCTGGCGCAGTCTTCTGCAGAGGACCGCAGCTTCCTTGCTCCCTCCCTCCCTCCCTCCCTTTCCCTCCCTCCCTCCCTTTCCCTCCCTCCCTTTCCCTCCCTCCCTCCCTCCCTCCCCCTCCCTTTCC